ATACATATGGACTCTTATGAAATTATATTGGCCCCTTTAATCTTTGGTTATACTTTCCTTTTGGGTGTTTAAGGCCATACAATTGGCCCATATAAACCAATTTATTTTTATTCTTAAGGTCATTTGAGGATCTGTTCCTCAGGGGTCACATGGGCTTGGGAGGAGCCCCTGGCTCCTTTCTTTTACCAGTTCCATCTATGTGAATGAAGATAAGTCAAAGGTCCTGCTCGACACCGGCTGGCTTCTCTTGGAAGCATGGAGGAAGTGATTCCTCTGTGTTGACCCTCCTCTTTATAGACTGGTTTTAAATTAAACCCTTCTCATTTGTCCCCAACCTTCTTTCCAGATCACTCCTTTATTCCCATCAGATATAGACAGGATTGTGACTGTTGGCCCTTCTGACCCTTAGTTCTGATGTATTGCTTCCCTTCCTAATTTCTTTTTCTGAGAAGCTCAGCTCCTGGCTCACTCTTTACCCTCTTTCTTGCCATAACTCTTTTCTGTCCTTTTAGCACAATCTCCAGTCTGAAATATCTCTTTGTCCTCTCCATTCTCCCTTTCTTCCCTTCAGATCTGCCTAGTGTAATTTCTGAGGACTCAGCCCCATTGCTAGCTAACATCATTTCTGTTTCTCTTGTTAAGTTGCTGCTCTACAGAAGTTATTTCAGGTGCTCTTTATTTTTACATGCCTCTCCCCCTTTTTCTACTACTTTCTTTCATGCTTAGGAGGTGCCAGCACCTCAAAGGAAATGAGGCCACTGAAAGGAAAATCCCCAGGTTTCATGTTCTCTACCTTTGAACTTAAAGTCCACGCCCTCGCGGAGACTTTTCAATCAGTGGAAGAAATTTCTCTTATTCTATTTGAGACTAATTGCTCTACCCTTTTTTGATTTTTTTGCTTTGTTTTGTTTTTCGAGACAGGATCTCCCTATCCCCCCAGCTAGCCTGAAACTTGCTATGTGGGTAGACCAGGCTGGCCTCAATCCCACAGAGATCATCTGCCTCTGCCTTCCAAGTGCTGGGATTAAAGGCATGTGCCACCATACCCAGCACTACCCTTTTTGAAACAAAATCCAGGTTATTTCCCTCTCTGTGTTTCATGTTTTCTCCATTCATGAATAGAATGGGTTCAACTCCCATTGTAAGGCAAGTTTCCAGTCTTGTTCCCACTGCTTGCTGTCTCTTGGGAAGCTTGTCCTGCTGCCGCATGCCCCCGTAGCTCTGTACGAGCTCATTGCCACCTCCTTGCTGTTCAGAGTACTGCCACATAGTTCACCACAGATTTTAGTCCTTTCATTTGGCTTTTTTGCAGCATCTAACGCATTGCAAAACCTCTTGACAATTCTAGTGTTAAAGTATTATTTCCTTGGGGCTGGAATACACTAATACACATAAAATAAAAATAATAAATAAAATATTTTTAAAATATTTCCTTTACTTAAATAATAGTTTCAGCCATTTATAGGCATGTACTGTATGCCAAACAATGTGATGGCTGCCGGGTTAGAGACAAACTCAGTTGCTTCCCTTCTCATGTTTCTCCTGTTTCCTGCAGCTTCTTGTGGTGTCTTGAGTTCTTTCTGTTCTTTTAAAAAATATTTATTATTTTTGTTTTATTTTATGTGTATTAGTGTATGGTCTGCATGTAGGTAGGTGCACCCGTGTCATGTAGTGCTCTTGGAGGTCAGAAGAGGGCATCAGATCTAGAACTGGAGTTACAGACAGTTGTTAGCCACCTTGTGGGTGCTGGGAATTGAACCCAGATCCTCTGCAAGAGTAGCCAGTGCTCTTAAATGTGAGCCATCTCTCCAGCCCCAGCAAAATCTTAGGTTATCATCAGTTACCTTATTACTGTATTACAATGCTACTTGTAACTGTAAGGAAGTCTGAGAAACATTCTGTGATGGCTAATCCTAGATGTGAACTTGACTGGATCTGGGATTAACTGAAAGAGACCTTCTTGATTGGATCATTTGAAGCTGGAAGGTCTGCCCTTTCTATTCTTTTGAATATCAGCATTCTTCAGGGCTTTACTCCCATTTCCCTCTATAATCTCACTGGTTGATTGCCTTACCTATAGTTACTTTATATTATTTTATGACTCACTTCTTTTGCATTCAACATATAGTAATTTGTTCATTTAGGTGTGTGCTTGAATTATGCTTGGTAGGGAGACTACGGAGGTTAGAGTTCATTTCTTCCTTCAGGAAATTATTCTGCTGAGGAGACAAAAGGGAAAGGTAGGTATTGTGATATGGTGAATAATTCTGGAATGCTGAGAGGGCACAGACAAAGCATCAGACTGCTTCAGGGATGTGGAAGAAGTCATTTGATGAAATAGGCATAGGGTACAGACCCGTAATCTCAGTCCTTACGAGGCAGAGTCAGGATGATCAAGAGTTCAAGGTCATCTTCAGGAATATAGCAAGTTTTAGGTCAGCCTGGGATCCATGAGACTGTGTGCCAAATAAAACAAAACAGGACAACTTATAAGCTCTGGAGTTAGTCAGATCAAGTGAGAAAACAGACTGGAGTAGACTTGCAGGTAGATGACAAAGCGTGGAGAAAGGCAGGTGATGAGGGTGGCACCTTCCTGTTCTGGACCAGGTGGAGAAATGGGGCTGTAGTAGACTGTGTACAGAGAGGTCAGAAACGAATGCAGGCTGAGAAATCTGACTTTATCCTATGAGAAACCGCTGAAGGGTTTTAAACTTGAAACAGTGTAATTATACTTGTTTTATAAAGTTCAGTTGTTTGAATTGGCTCATATTTGAAAAGTCCTTATTACTAACTAATGGTTCAAAGCCAGTGGTGATTTTTTTTTTTTTTTTTTACTTAAAGCTATCTGGAGGCTGGGGCAGGAGAGATGGTTGAGCTGTTAAGAATACTGACTGCTCCTGCAGAGGACCAACCTGGGTTCAGTTCCCAGTTCCCACATAGCGGATAACAACCATCCCTAAATCCAGTTCCAGGGAGTTGAACGCCCTCTTCTGATATCTGTGGGTATTGTACAACAGGTGCTTTTACATACATGCAGGCAATACACTAATACACATAAAAATAATAAAATAACTTGTGAAAAGATACCTGGGGGCCATTTTGGCTCATTCATTGGCTAAAGGCACTTGCCACCAATCCTAATGATCTGAATTTGACTCCCCAGAACCCACATTGGGGAAGAAGGAAAAAAGATTCTTAAAAGTTGTTCTCTTACCTCCACACACATATAAACATAAATACATACACACACAATAAGTAACTAAATGTTTTTAAAAATGTATCTGGTAATGTCTGGAGCCATTTCTGACTATCACAACAGGCATGTAGTGGAGGCCTATGTTCTATACAAGGCTGGCTTTTTTTTTTTTTTAATGTGTATGTGTGTATTGCCTGCATGTAGGTAAGTGCACTCGTGTTGTGCAATGTCCTCGGAGGTCAGAAGAGGCTGTAGGATCCTCTGGGACTGGAGTTACAGTTCTTAGCTGCCATGTGGGTGCTGGGATTCAAACCCAGGTCTTCTGCAAAAACAGCCAGTGTTCTTAACCACTGAGCCATCTCTTCAGCCCCCACAAGGCTGGTTTTTGTAATACTCTTTTATTTGGTGTGTGTATGTGCGTGTGTGTGTGTGTGTGTGTGTGTGTGTGTGTGTATCACTCTGTAGTCCAGGCTGGCCTGGTACTAATTATACATGAGGTTCAGGTTGGCCTGAACCTTAGAACAATCCTCTCGTATCTTAGCCTCCCAAGTGTCAGGATTACAAACCTTAGCCACTATGTCCAGCTCTGAAATGCTCTTCTGACAAACTCCACTGGACCTTGTCTGTTGGAATTATGATCTCTCATAAAAATACCAAACACAGATTTGGGTAGTTTAGGAACTTTGAAATTGAAATGGGCCTTAGCAAAATACTGCATTAGAGAGTGGGTTTATCTTTTTATTGTATTTTATTTTATGAATATGAGTATATTGCCTTCATAAATATAAGTGTACCACATACATGCTGTGCCTGTGGAGGGCAGAAGAGGGTGTTGGATCTCCTGGAACTAGTTACAGGTAGTTGTTAGCTGACATGTGGGTGCTGGAATCCAGACCTGGGTCCTCTGCAAGAGCATCAGTGGTCTTAACCAATAAACTATTTCTTCAGCCCTGAGTGGGTTTAAATTAGTGACTTTATCTTTATTTTATTAAAAAGCAAAAGCCAACAGAGAAATGAGGCTGAGTTATTGAAAAGGGTGATACATTTAAAAAGGCCTTCTAAGTTTAAAGTTACCCTCTTTGCTCTTTGTAATCAATTCAAAAATTTGTTTTTATTGAATTTTTTTGTGCATTTCATATAGAATATCTCAAACAATATTAATTTTCTTTATACCCCTATCCCCACTGGCACCCTCCCAGTGCCCCCACCACCACCACTGGAACCCATATACTTTAGTCATCCATGTTAAGGCCCACTGTGTCAAGTCAGTGTCCCCAGACATTCCCCAGTGCAAGTCCATCCACTGAGGTCTAGTCAGCCTATCTTGAGTCCCTTGTTTTAGGAAGATCAGTTTTTCTTCACCTAGCAGTAATCATTTGCCAGTATTTCACCTAAAATTAGGGTCTGCTGTTCATTTCCCCAGTTCTATGCTGGGTTTTTGTCTGCCTGGGTTTGCATGGGACTTGTGTATGCTGACACCATTGCTGTCGAATCATATGAGCAGGGTCCCAGGAGCTTATAGGACTCTGTTTCCATATGATCCTGCACCTCCTCCCTGGCTCTTACAATCTTTCCACCACCTCTTGATAGTTCCTGGGCCCTGGGTGGGTGAAGTTTAAAGTAGGAGTCCTGTCCAAACGACCAGCATTTTGTAGACTCTTGATCTCTACCTTTTGGACATTTGTGACCTTTTGTGTTCCTAGCCTTCTGTTGCATGAGGGAGCTTCATTAATGAGAATTGAGAGATTCATTAGTGTTGTCTTCAGTTTTCATTACCCCGTTCTATGTTTTGTACACCTTAGATGTAGAGGTTGCATTACAGATGTGTTGCTTTGGCTTGGGAAATCCATAGACTGTGTGTGTGTGTGTGTGTGTCCAGTTGTGGTACTTGGAAATAGTCTCCAACTGGTGCAAAATAAGCTGCTTTGGGGAATGGTGACTGGGATATTTGTCAGGGAAGAAGGCTGGTTTCAGGAATCCAGGCAGGTTGGGGATTGGGACAGCCAGGGTGGAAGCTGTTCTCAGGAGTTCAAAGGCAAGTTGGGGGTGGGGACAGCCTATGGAGGCTCTTTAGACTGAAGAATTGAACTGGTCTGGGTGCAGGGGATCAGGACAGTGGGTAGATCTGGACTAAGAGGGGTAGTCCAGCGATCTGAGGTGCTAAGAGCAGAAGCAGGCCTGTTTCCAAGGCTAGAAGGAGAACCTGATTCAAAAATTTATAGTAGTTTATTTACCCATTGAATCAGAATTTAATAAACTTTTTTTGAAGAGTAAGATGGAGCAACTTCCCATATAATACAATCAAGGAAATAGACTTTTCTCTTCCAATGTTTTGCATATTGTAATTCAAGAAGGAACTAAAACTCAGTGTAGAGCCAAGAACCATTTAAGCTGTCAGTTTCAACAGCTTCTGCTACTTTGTACCAGTATCAAGATTACTAACATCTCAAAATTACCTAATTGAGTCACTAAACATACTTAGAATAAGTACTCATGTCTGAAACACAAGTACTATGTGCTTGACTGGTATATGAGAGTTTCCCTTCCTAACTTTCATGTATGAATTGGTTTGCTTCTACTTCCTTACACACACAATTGCCAGGGCCTTGTTTACAGGGTGGCCTCATTTGAATGCCCACCAGTCACCCCTCCCTATTACAAAGGCCCCAGGATTCAGTTAGGTTTCTTGACATTTATGAATTTCTTGGCACCATATTTCAGCAGATTTTGAGTGTATACAAGAATCCAATAACTGATCAAATAACTATGGACTTACTACCCAACCTTAAGAATGATCAGTTCGTAGCTAATCTCCTTTTAATTGGGGGGGGGGGTGAAGCATGGTCTTGATGTTTCCATAGCCCAAACTGAAACTGAACTGACCTCTCCTCAGCCTTCCGAGTGTTAGGATTATAGTGTGACTCACCGCTCCTGGCTTCATAGCTGTCCCACTAAATTTTCCCCTCCCCCTTCTTGAGAGACCCCCGCCCACACCCTCTGAGGACCCAGGGCTAACAAAATGACAGAATATCTTTTATTTGGGTTTTAGTATGGTTTATATGACATTTGGGGAAAGGGTGACTTAGAAAGCATAAGCTCCATCTTCTACATTTTGACTAAGCTTTGAGATCCTCACCATGCCCTGCCCAAAGTTCACCAGCTGGTCCACAGCACCCCACGGAGTCCACGGGAGGCTGGCTCTCCCACCTGCTCACCTGCTGTTCGCTGCTCCCAAAATGGCACCAACTCCTTTTTCCCAGTGTGCTCTGCTTCTCTCTGGGTCTAGATCCACCCCCTCTTTTCCTCGGACGACGAATTTACCCAACGATAGCTAATCTTCAAATCATTTATTTATTCATATACCAGCTCCCTGCCTATGCACCCTCCTACCCCTAATCTGCCCTGGATAATATATTGTAAAGCAAGTCCTTAGCATTGTACATTATATTTCATCCAAAGAATATTTCAGTGTGGATGAGAGATAAGGGTTCTGTCATCAGTGCATACTTGTACTTCATACAGTGAAGTATGATTCCCTAATATCATCAAGTATCTACCCACTGTTAAGTTTTCTTTATTGCTTTGAAACATGTTTGTTACAACCCAAATAGAATCCATGCACTGCAACCAGATAAGAACTCTTAATCTGTATCCAAGTGGATTTCTGAAGGTATTGATAGAAAACACAGATGTCTTTTCAGTCATTACAGGGATGATAGCCTTACTCAGCTATGAGAATTGGAACATTCCCAAGGGAACCTGAGAGGTCACTAGAGAGAATGCAATAGGCTTCCCGTAGGTTTGGTTTGGAACAAGGCCCTGTTTTGATAGGAAGCCAAAGTCCTTCTGCTGCCTTATGCTATTAGGTTTTGTGACTTCATATCTGGGTTCAAGACACAGATTACTCCACTAAGGAGCCCTGCAACAGGTCTTTCATCTTACTGGGATGGAACAGGCAACCTTTTCTATGCTCTTAGCTAATTTGGCACCTAGAAGAGTAGAAGGTTGTGTTCTAAGGAAGAAAGTGGCACGGGGAGAAATGTGTGAAAACTACTCTTGAAAGGTGATTTTTAAAAAGCAAAGGCTTTCCTTTAAAGCATGCTGTATTTTCTTTTTACCTAAATCTTTATAAATTTATAAACTTAAAGGGATATTCTTTTAAGTATTGTATTCTAAAAGTTACTAATTCACTTTATTTACTAAGAATGTCATTTCACTTAGGAAAATGACTACATTAATTCATACTTTGAAGATGGAGACGATTTTGGTGCAGACAGTGATGACAACATGGACGAAGCAACATACTAGCCATGACATTTCTCAAACGTTTTATTGAGACATCATCTGAGCATTTGGAGAGACGTGCTTCATTTCTAATAAGGAATACGTACATGTTTTCTGTTGCTATTCCTGTTTTGTTTGACAAATATCTGTTCTCAAACTCTTCAGACCCACTTTGAGTTTACCCAGTTACCTTACAGTCTCCAAACTGACATTCCTTCTCAATACCTCTGCTACCCCTTATTGTGCTATTGGGGGGGGGGGTGTTTGTATTATTTGCATTTGAATGTGCCTAAAGAGTCTTAGCATTTTTTAATCTGTGTTCATACTTGAAAAACATCATTCTTGTTTAACTGCTGATCTTTTGTAAAACTGTTACTACTCATAGTGAATTTCTAATACTGCACATGGAGCACTTTAAAAACAAAGAAACTTGAAAGTTGTTTTTCACTTTTACATGGTATGTTCTATATTACCACATCATGACTACATAAACCTACCTGAGCTTACAAGTGCAGACTTAAGAGATTAGAAGTTTGATGGTAGGAAATGTGCACATAGAAATAAAATGACCTGAACTAAATGAATTTCACAGTTAGCACCCCAACTAAAACAAAGGCTTTCATATGGGAAAATCCTTGACTCTGGGGATAACTTCACACCATAAGTGTATGACTAATAATCCCTCTGAAATAAATTTGACATTTAATTGGGGTCATGAAAAATTTAACTGTGACATCTGTTTAATTCTGTATTTTACCTAAGTGTGGAGTAAGTTCTGGTTGCATAAACTTCATGATGGAATGATGTGTGAATCTGATGAAGGGCAGTACCCTCTGTTAGGTTTCACAAGACTCATAAGCTGCACAATTATGTAATTATGCAAAATGAACTCAGGTCATTTTGAAATTCAGATTATTTTACCTTAACAAGGTAGCTCCCTGTAATCATACATTTTGGTGAGAAAATACCCAGAAACCTCAGCCTCCAAGGGCTTTAAAATGCCAAAGATTTTCAAGGAAATCCATATTATGAATTTCAAAAATAATATATTAACATTACCTACCAAAAGAAAGAAAATTTCTTCTCCCCTTTAGGGAGGTTTATCCGGTATTACCCTCTAACTTGGAATTAAGGCCTACTTTTTCTCTCAGGATCAAAATAACCTTGAAGTTGAACTTGGTTAAATTTATGTGCCTTAGTTTCTCCATATGTAAACAATTTCCCATAGAAACTGTTTAAATTCTAACCAGAATTTATCATCTCTACATCATCTTTCCCCTTATAGAAAGGATCACTTAAATTTGGTTCTTATCCTATAAACAACTGTAGTTTGGAAAGTAGTAACTAAAAAAAGTTGTGAGAAACAAATAATGTCCTGAAAAATAATAATTTTATTTTCCAATCTTCTATCTGTGGTAGAAATTGTAGAAAACTCGTATTGTCTGGTGAGATTTTGCAACATTGTTTTCTCAGGAAAATCATTCCCAATGGCAATACTTCTTCCAGTAATTCCAGATGGGTGTGAGGGCTCATCTTATCAGTGCAGTGCAATACTAAACACTTCCCATTCAAAGGAGCTGATCATAAACATTTTAAGATTCTAAATGGAAACATGAGTAAGTCTCCTTTTAAACTGTAATATATTGAAAACTCTCATATCAGGATTTTAGTAGTAAAGGCAAGTTATTTGGGAATAAACAGATATGTTATTCTCTTACCTTTGGTACCAGAGCCAAATACTATTTTGCTCTGATTGCTTGCTTTATTCTAAATCTGCAGATAACTGCTCAAATCAGGCACACACATTGGCAGTAATGTCTTCCCTGGCTTTCAGCTTGTCTTTGCCCTAGTCCTGCCAATGGGAGGACAGCCCTTTGGGAAAGGATTTACTCACCCTGCCTTTTCCTTTAAGCACATTCCCTCCTCCTTTGAAAGATCAGTTTACCACTTTAAACATACTAATTTTGAGAAAAGCCAGGATTTTTCAGGTAGCTTATCAGCATACATTTTGTTTCTCTGGCTTAAACTTTGAGGCTGTGAAATTATTCTGTAGGAAGTCAAAGACTATTTGGTAAAGATAGCATCTTATACATGTAAGAAAAATGCTTATTGGTGAAATGGCTTTAAAAATTATAATAAAACTGGTTGCTATGATGCTTATTTTTCTGTATTTGATTACACATGAAATTCTTAGAAAATAAAATTTTGAACTTAATATTAAGCTGTTTTTGAATGTTTATTTGGTAGAAAAAAAACTAATATAGATTTTTACTTACTAAAGTTAACTATATATTTGTTGAATAGGAATGCCTCTATGAGGCATGTTGGACAAACGTCCACCACATACAATAAAGGAAAACTCCAGGTATGTGATTAGGAAAAAAGTTGTGATAACTATCAATTTGGCAGATACTATGTATATTGTTTTGCTTTGAAGATTTATTTTTATGTGTATAGTTACTTTGCCTGCAAGTGTGTTTATATACCTGGTGTGTGTGCAGTACCTGCAGAAGTCAAAAGAGGGCAATGGAGACACCATGTAGGTGGGAACCCAACCCAGAACCTCTGCAAGATCAAGTGCTCTTCACCACTGAGCTATCTCTCCAGTCCTCATCATTGGTTTCTTGAACGTTACCAGATGTTAATCAGAGGACTCGTGTTTGTCTTTTCCCTTACCACCTCCAACTAGACAGTATCAGTGGCTTAGCATTCATATGGTTAAAGTCTATGGAGTTAGTAAAAATGTCCTTTTTATACAACACAACTTTAAGGGACTGGAGAGATGGCTCAGTGGTTAAGAGCTGACTGCGCTTGCAGAGGACCCGGGTTCAAGTAACGGCACCCACACGGCAGCTATGAACTGTCCTAACTCCAGTTCCAGGGGAATCGGAAGCCCTCTTCTGACCTCTGCAGCACTGCACGACACAGGTGCACTCACTTACATGCAAGCAATACACTCATACACATAAAATAAATATTAAAAAATAGCACAACTTTGTCAAGATGCTTTTAAAAATGGAAATGTAGAAAAAGAAATGGAAACAAGAACACAATTTCCCCCAAAGAACTTTCTCATTTCTGTTACTTGAAATTTTAAAGTTTCTGTACGTGATGTATGCCTACGTGTTTAGGTGTGTTCAGATGCGTACACCTGTGAAGGCTAAAGATTGATGTCAGGTGTCTTCCTCTATTGCCCTCCATCTTATTTGAGACAGGGTCTCTAAACCTGGAGCTCAGTGATCAGCTAGATTGCTGGCCAGTGAGCTCTAGGGATCCTCTTGTCCCTATCTCCCCTGCCTTAAGATTACAGGTGTGCCTGCCATATGCAGCTTCTGATGTGAGTGCTAGGGGTCTGAACTCATGTCACCATACTTGTGCAGCATCCACTTTACCCACTGAGTCATCTCTTGAACCCCAAATTAATATTCCTGAAGGCCATTTCTTTCAGAAAAAGTTGAAATTTACATGTAGAGCACTTCATAAGACTGACTCAGCTTTTATAAGCAAGGTCTGGACTTCCCAAGTCTTATTTACCCAGAAACAACCCCCCCCAAAAAAAAAGATTTATCAAAAACATTTCATTTATGTCCTGCACACCCAGTGGATTTTGAGTGTGGCAAGTGGGAAACCTGAATTCATGAATGTAGGGCAGTTTGTGCTTTCTTTCATAGTATATTTCAAAAAGCTTGAAAGTAAAAGAAGAAAAGTTTGCTTTACTCAATTAAACTCAACAACTTCCATTTTCATATTGAATAATAAAATAGAAATTTTATTACTTTTTGCATATCTTTTAAAATATGAAAAACAAGGGGTAAAAGTTTTAAAAACCAGTTTTACAGATATACATGCTAACAATGTCCTATTAATTTGCAATTGTATAAAATACATTATACAAAAGATTTATAGTTTTGCATACATAGAATGAATTAAATAAAGCATTCACATATGTCTATGATCTAACAGTGCAATATGCACATACTTAGAAGAAAAATACTGATTTCCTGAGCAACAATGTTGTAATTCAAGATCAGAATAATTCCCATGATAATGCAGCATTTAAGTAATTGGACTTTTATTCTGTAATTCTCCGAGTAGATTGCTACTTTGTATTTCTAAAACTATATCCTTCCTATTTCCAACTAGGTAATTTTAGAAGTAGATCTTCTAAAAAGGGGCTAATCAATTGCTAAATAGTGGTTAATTTAATAAACTTTTGAGACCATCATGAAAGTGGGTAGAGTGCATAAAAGAAACCTTAAAAACCAAAATCCACTTGAAAGGCTAACTTGAGACTGATTATGAGCTTCTTTCTAATTCACAACATAGCCCGCAGAACATAACCCTTCTTTTATCTAGGAAAGTAAATATATACATAGCTGTCCATTGTTTCAAACAATCTTAACTATGTGTACTCAGACTTTAAAAAGTCAAGGTTGCCCTGATATCAGATTTTTCTTCACTTACAATTCCAAGTTTTTTAAGTGAACCAAATGTGATGACTCAGTTTTGTAAAATTTACATTTGCATATACACATACACAAAGCCTGAAAGCAAACTCAAGTAAGAGCATGAACATAATCCAC